CTCAGTATCCCTCAGAAGTTGTGTCAAGTTCAGGCAACATCAGCCAACATTAGGTCATCTTCCCTCAACTTGATCCTCAACTTGTGTCAAGTATGCTGAAGATGACTCAACTTAAGGTACCAAGCTGAATTTAGAAGCACTTTGTGCCATCCCTGAAAGACTTTTGTCCAATCCAACTCCAGAAAGTCTCATGCCACAACCTCATGTAGGTCACTGTAACAAAGAACAAACACTTTTCTCAAAGACGCCCAAGTTAGGCACTCTAACCAGCCCATCTTGAGGTTAGATGGACCTCACGCCGTCAAATCTCTAGGGTTTTGGGCGCTGCTTCACCAGCTGGCTTCCCTCAGCCCTCTCTAGATGCCTATAACCCAAACTCCAAAAACCCTATTGGGGACCCCCTTGTAACCCTAACTCCTTTTTTGTTCACTGCCTCTCATGCTCTACACCTGCTACACATGCTCTGACTGTTCTGCACTTTTACTTGCTTGCACTGACATGCTTACAATGGCTGCCAAATCTCCCTTCTGCTGTATGACCCTACCACTGGCCCAACCACTGAACGCAAAACATGCCTCACATGCTCTCTCATCAATGCACTTTACCATCCCTTCTGAGACACGTTCTCGCTATTTGTGCAAGACCACTCTTTCTCCTGCTGACTGCCTCTTGTGCCGGAGTGGTCTCTCATAGGCAGTACTATGTTGCCCTGAAACCACTGTCTGGCCAGCTGTCGAGATCTTGCATCTCTGGGCATCAATGCTCTCTCTACCGTTGCACATGACCACCTCTTTACTTTTTGCAGCTGAATGTGCAGTGCGAAGCAGCCTCCAGAATCGTAGATGCCCGGCTGGCTATGCAGACGCCCCGTGGCGCGCGCGTCACGTGACTGCCGTGGCCTCCGGCGCGCGCGAGCACGCTCTCGTCTCTTTGCGCGTACATATACGCGCGCGCTCGACTTGGTCCTTCCGCTTCCGCGCGCAGCCTGTGTCCTTCCAAACACCACACCAACTGGTTAGCGGCTTGCGTAAACATCCTCACCTCGCGCTCTGCTCCTCGGATCGCCCAGCGATCTGGCATCCCTCAAAGCGCCCCGGTGCATCCCCAACCCACGACCCACTTTGTAGCAATCGCTCGCCGCGAGCAAAGGGCGCACGACCCGTCTACCTCACCAACTGCCATCATGTCAGACGAGGAGATGTACGGAGCGAGTGGGAGCGGAGGGGGAGGCGACGATGAGCTGAGCTTGCCACGCGCTACTGTACAAAAAATCATCGCAGGTGAGCCATTATGCAGCTCTGAAAGTCGAGAGTCGTGTCACGCAAGGGTGCTGGGGCGCACTGGGGCTCACAGCAGGGAGACGGTCTAGCTTACACGTGCTTTGCGATATCACCATCCTTTCTGCAGAGCTCATCCCAGCGGACATGTCGTGTGCGCGCGAAACAAGAGACCTGGTCATCGAATGCTGCGTAGGTGGGTTAGGCTCGATGCGGGAGGAGTATTGTCATCGACACGTAGCTGAGTCGTCCACTCTCGCCCATACAGAATTCATCCACCTTCTCAGCAGCGAATCCAACGACGTGTGCGAGCGCGCCAGCAAAAAGACCATTGCTCCTGAGCACGTTGTCGCCGCTCTCAAGGTGAGTATCGTGCGCAATGTGGGCGAGCGGACGCGCTCTTCCGGTCTGACCTTCTCCGCGAATGCCATCCGAACAGGACCTCGGCTTCGAAGCATACACGGCAGAGATCGCAGAAATTCTTGAAGAGCACAAAGTGCAACTCAAGGTGCGTCTATGCCCAGGATCCAAATGGCACTGTTCTGCTCTTGGCTGAGACTCTGCAATGGTCTTTTGCGCCTGTCAGGATCGTGAGCGCAAGACGGGCAAGATGGAAAAGTCGGGTCTGTCCATGGAGGAGTTGGAGCGGCAGCAGCAGCTGCTCTTTGCTGCTAGCGCTGCGCGATATGACCCTTCCTCCCACTGAGTAGGGTGCATGCGTCTCTGTGAGCAAAACGGGAATTGCTAGAGACCGGCGCCGGAACCCGGCACACCTGCGTTGTCGATGAACGCTGCGGACTGTTTTCGTCGGGCCGCCAGAAGACGAACCGCTACATCCTTGAAATCGGCGCTACACTGCATGGACGTCGAATCTCGACGAGGAGTTGCGCGGCCTATGCGATCATCGTCGACTACTCTTCGGGAACCAGCTCAGCATACAGACGGCTTTTTTTAGAGGCGGGCACGGTCAGTCACCAGAGTGCGCCGAGCTGCGGTGCCGAGCTCCACATTCGTGAGACGCTCGCAAGGGGCTAGATGCGCGCCGCACGACCGCTTGGACAATAGCACTTGGCTCATGCAAGACACCCGATTCTGACGAGCATCGGCGTCATTATCACGCTTGGGGAGCACCCCGCGCGCTACACTGTCGCCACTCGACTCGCAAAGAGGCGGCGGCTAAGGTAGCAGGGTTGCACCAGTTCGCGTACCACTAGCCATCGCACTGCGCACTGTTCGCTCGCCGTGCGATGAGCATGCGTGACTCAATGTTGATCTCATTCAATCTATCCGACGTGCATGTCATCGGAGCGATACGGCCTGCGTTGCGCGACGGCATCCGGTCACGCACGTCACTCTTCCCACCTAGCCTTCGTCTTGCAGCTCTTCTGCCAACGGCGCAGCTGCGAGCACGCAAGGTACACCGCGAGGGTCAAGGGCATCCACAGCGCCAAAAAGAGGGGTTTCGACGCGCTCATCCCCTTTAGCATCTCCAACATTTCCTGTGCGACGGACGGTAGGCAGAGCAGCGTCATGTAATGCGTCGTTCAACGGAATGGATTTGGCGTCGTGATCACGTGGAGGTGTGGTCAACCACGCAAGAGCGAGGGAGGACAGGACAGGTGGGTACGCGTCAGCGCCCGCTTTGCTTCGGTAGAGACGGCGACGGATCGAGTGTTCGAAAAGGGTAAAGATCATGCGCATGCTGGGGCTGGGCCGGCGAATAGTGTCGCGCAGCGCTGCGCCCCCTCAGGGAGTGTCATCGCCACCGATTGTATAAGTCTTTTCAATCACCTTTTGGTTTCGTGGTATGCCCGAAAAGACCTTGATGGCGACCTTGAGTGGCATCGACTTGCCCAAGGAGTCGCGCAGCGAAGCAGCAGCAGCTCGCACGCCGTCCAGAATGGTGGCCTCTTGACCTTCAGTGAGCGCACCCTTGCCTTCTTCTGGGTTGACCCCTTTGTTCTTGTACGAGCCGGCTGGTGCCAGGGGGGTGTAGGAGCTGAAAGGGGCAAAAGTAACGGCTGGTCAGCACAATGCCGCCAAGCGAGACGCGGAGCTTGTCACCCACCCAGATTGCTGGATCTTCTTGAAGGCCGGGTTACGCTTCGCAACTTGGAATACGTGCCCCTCCTGCGAGACGAACGTGTTTCGATCGAGTTATAGGGGGTGCATAATCCGACACCGAAGGTGCCCGACTTACCGTCGTGAAGTAGTAGTCGTCCAACGACCAAGTCTCGGGGTCGTCCCACATGAGACTGCAAAGGCGCGGACGCGGACCTCTGTCAGGTGCACTCTCACAGCTTTGCAATCCCGAGTCACTCACTAGAGGTACTTGAGCGTCTCGGCAAAGAGCTAGAAGGCAGTGCACACAGAACACACCGTGAGTCGCAAGAGTGATCCGCGCGATTGTACGCTTCAACTCACAAAGGTTTGCGCTTCGTCGTAAGCGGAAGAGGAGAGATCGTTCACATTGACAAGGCAAAGCCAACCGTTGCCCGTATCGAGGTATTTCTTCATGGCGAGGTAAGCTTCCCAGGCGTAGTCTCTAAAGATTTGCTGACCCGTGATGCGGTACAAGTAGAAGAGGCTCTCGATGGTCTCCCTAAACGGGCAACATGGACACGTCAGTAGCAATCAGAAATCGTGTTGGACGTGATCAACTCACGGACGCTGAATGTAGCTGGCAGCAGAACCGATGAAGAAACCGTGCTCGTTGTAGAACTCGCGGCGTCCGACAGAGACGAAATCCCAGCCTTTGGCGATGCCGTGGTCGTCAAAGTAGCCGATCACCTGGAAGGATGGCAGCATGTGGGTGGTTCAGCTACGAGCAGTCTCCGCCCAAAAGTGCCACGCCTGCTCACCTCAGGGCCAAGACGAGTAGCAGTCGCATTGTACGTCCTCGCGTGACTCTCTGCGATCTCACCGCCGATCTGCACCCATGTCTCGTTGCCAAACAGAGCACCTCCCATGGCCAAGCCGCCTCCGATCCAGCTGGCGAGGTGGCTAGTGACGTACACCTTGGTCTTGTTCTTTGGCTCAAAGTCTGCCATGAAGGTCAGATTGCCTACACCGGTGTTGGTGGCCAAATTGGTAAAGGAGTCGGCTGCTGCTCTCCACGTCTTGAGGTAGTCGTCATTCGCGTCAAGACCGTAAGCGAAGCCATATTTCAGGAGATACTCCTGCAAGAGAGGGAGGGGGCAGGGCGAAAAGGGAATTTAGGTCGAGTCACGGTGCTGTATGCATGGCGAAGAGCGGTTCACCCACCCAGAACGAGTCGGATCCACCACCAGCAGTGACCCAAAGATCATCGGTGTAGCTGTCAAGGGTATGCGCGACTGAGCGATGGTCTACGACTGCGGGCGCTCACTGTACTCACGACAAATTGCCTGGGAAAAAGTTCTGACTCGGCAAGCCAGGTAGAGGCTGTTGGAGTCCAACGAGCGCCTTCATGGCGCCGTCGGTGAGGTCGAGGTACTGCTGATTGCCCGTGTACTTGGTGAGTCTGGCCCACTCCAGGATGAGCGACCCGGCCTCCGCAATGTTGGCAGTGTCGTTGAGGTTGACGGGGGCACTGAGGTTGAGGTTAAAGTGATTGTAGGGCACCTTATTGCGCTGGTTGGTAGTCGTATTGGTCCACCAAGCTGAAGCCAGCTTGTCACCCAGCTCTTTAGCCTTGTCTACGAGGAAACGCTGGTCAGGACGCTCTCCTCCAAGGTGGTAGGCCGAAAGCAAACCTCCAATGTACCTGATGGTCAGCTCGAACACGCTACGGAGTGTCACAAACTATCGTGGTAAGCTTCCTCGACTGCCATTGTGCGACACGGATCAACTCACGAGACTGAGCCGACGGGATCACCTTCTGGCGTGACGCTAAAGTTCAGGTGCTTGGCATGTTCTAAGGCGCGCATGTACTCGTCCGAGTGGGAAAGTTGCATGATGTGCATGGTGCTCATGGAATCGATGATGGTGCCTCCGAAACCTGCCAGGATAGAATTGTTGTCACCCTGGCGTGCTACGGGTTTGAGCAGGTCGGAGCCAAAGGCAAATTGCTCGTACTTTTGGTATTGCTCGATGAACGTCTGACGGACAAAGTGTCAGTCATTCGCACGTGATGAGCGGCCAATGCCATCGTCCAGCTCACCTTCTTGATCGCCTCTCTTTTTTCCACATCTGCTCCCCAGTGCACGCCTGAGGATGCAGAAGCAGGCTGCTTGGACGGCGTCTCATCATCTGTGTTGTTCTTAACCTGGCGTCGCATGTTGATGCTGGAGCGGCGGACGGCAGATGGGTGAGCAGCAGCTGCCTGGACGCTGCTGCTGAGGGCGAGAGCAGCAAGTACCAGGAGGAGTGGGCATAGCGCCCGAATTGCGAGCGAGAACCGCATCATAAGCGTCAGCAAAGCGTGCTGTGCTTGACAAGCGAGGATTGCGGAGGCGGGGAAAAGCCAAGTGAGCGTGGGAAGGAAGTGGGAAGGTTGGGATGCGATGATGGAGAGGCGCTAGCGGTGCTCGGCCTCGAAAATCTAAAGTTGGCCCTTTATGAAGAGATCGGAGCAGTGCGAGGTACTGCGCTGCTGACAGCGACGCATGGTTCGAGTTGCTGCTGGAGACGGCTGTTGCAACACGCGGAAGCAAAAAGCCGCGCATTACCTTCAGCCAGCCCGGTCGCAGGGTGGTGCTCGAAGCAGATGGTTCGGATTGTTGACTGCGCCGCCAAGGTACGGCGCGTCCGCGGTACATTAATTTGGGTGACCTCGTACATATGCATAATGTGCCGCGTGTCTCCATTCGTCAATGGTGAATGCTGGATCTATAGAGGGAGCGCTCATGTGACCGTGCCTGGCGTCGCATAAGTCCCGACCAGGCGGTTCGATTTGTGTACCTATACGCGCCGGTCTGGGAAAGCCCATCGAGTTGCTGCGCTCTGGCAGGCAGCTCTTTGATGCGAATCGATCTACACTCCGACCCTTCTCGCGCACGCAGACGCTGCGCGGTCTCGCCTCGCAAGCGTGGCAGCGGAAAGTTGCAAGGTACCGAGGAGCTGCCCTTCGTGAAGCATTTCGGCGCTTCGACTTGGCCAAGCATTCCCCAAGAATTTTACCAACACATCTTTGCGCTGAACGCTGCCCTCTTTTGACCAAGCAGCTCTTGGTCGCAATTAAGCAAGTCGTTGGTGTGGCTGCCTGTGTTGTTGCTGCGCGGTCCGTTGAAAAGGGTCCATTTCGAGCGCATACATGCGGTCCTTCTATGACTTCTGACGCTTCATTGTGCTTGATACATTGCGCCGCCGCCGCGAGCGTGTTTGAGATTCTGCGCAAAGGGTTCGGCTATGGAGGGGTGAATCCCTTAATCGAGCCATAATGAGCACTTATAGGCGCATACAGCGTGCTTGGTATGATCGACGGACCGCCGTACCGCTAGAGGCCGGAGGTCAATGTTGATATCCAAGGCGGTTTTCCGTCTGCATGGGTGTTGATGCCGGTCAGCATGTTACTTGGGCGTGCCTTTGCGAGTATACCCATATGTCGTCAAAGGTTCTCCTGATTGGCAAATGCGACCTCATCCTCGTCGTGCGCGGAAAGTCAGCCTGACCCTCTGCGCGCTGCCGACAGCGGTCGCAAATCGATCGATCCTTCAAAGCAAGCTGGCGCGCGATAGCCTCGTCTAGGGGCGATAAGTGTCATTGGTTGCCTTGGCTTACGCGTGTCTGCAGGAGCCTCGTCACTGCCTGCGGTGAGGGAGAGCGTGCGCGTGCGTGTGTGCTGTTGACCCTGCTCTGCGCGCTAAAGCTCTTCATCCTGCCGAAATCTGAATGTCTTCGCTATGCTATCCGCTCCTCCAGAAGGCGAAATCCCGAGTAGCTCAACGCTCGGCGATTGTGAATGGGTGGTGTAAGGGATGGATGGCCTGCGTGCCAGCAGCAGCAGGTACTTCTGACTGGAAGGTGGCATGTGCATGTCATGTCGTGGGTCGCCTGGTCCATGCATCACTCGATCACGACTCAACTGCTGCGTGGGACGCCGCGCCGTGCGTCACGAAGCGCGTGAAGCGGCGTCACGTGAAGTCGCTCGATCAGCGGTTTGTTTGGGTGGAGGAGGAGGAAGACGAAGCAAGCAAGGCGGTGCACCTATGCGCGCCACGGTTGTCCGTCTGCCTTTCCCAACTCGCAACTCGTGACTCGTGCCTCTTGGCTTCTCTTCTGACACTCTGACTGCCTTCTCGACTCAGTTCGAGCTGATCACCACCTCTGGATCACATCGGTGATACGCCTTTGTACCTCCCACCGAGCAGAGCGCATTGACCGCGATCCGGCATGCCTCCTCGCAAGAAGCAACGCACTCGGACGTCGCCCACTCTGGTCGCCTCTCCATCAGGCGCCCTACCATCCTCTGCCTCTGCATCGGATGAAGAGGTTCATAGCGGACCGGCAAGCGAGAGCGAAGGGCTCACGATCGATGCCGCTCCCGGCAAGAGCTCAAGGACTCGACAAGCTGGTACCGGCATCGCATCTCCGCCTCGTGTCGAGACGGATGCGCAGTCAGAGTGGCTGCCTAGCAGCTTGGACACGCTGCCTTCCGACCTCCTAGCTCGCGGACTCCCCGCCTTGAAGCGCAACATTCTACGCTCACTCTTTGATGTTTCTGCTGAAGCGACCGTAGCGGCGGATGAGAGCACGGCGCCTAGCGAGATGGACGCAGCTCGAGAAGCGTGTCTGGGTGGGCAAAAGCAGTGGGATGAGCTGAGGGGCATGCTCAGCAATACCATCACGCACGGCGAAGGCAACAGCGCACTCATACTCGGAGCTCCCGGGTGCGGCAAAAAGACTGTGAGTGGAGGGCGTGCGCGATGGTGAGAAGGAGACCTCTGGTTGACTAAAGAACCCCGCATACACGCACACATGCACAGCTGTTGCGCTCTGCTCTGTCGACCCTGCCCAGCTCAAAGTATCATCATGTCCAACTGGACGGCACTGTACAGACGACGGATGCGCTGGCCATGAAGGAGCTGGCGCGTCAGCTGGTCAGTAAAGGTGCCATCGCGTTGACGGAAGAGCAGAGAGAGCTGCTCGAGCTCGATGCTACCGGCAGGATCGGCGAGGAGGCTGGAGACAAGGATGGAGAAGCTCAGTCTGATGATGGGGATGAGCCGACGCGACAAGAGGATGCAAATGGTGATGAAGAGAACTTGAAAGAGGCCATGGCGGGCGCGATATTGGTGAGATCGGGCGACCGTTTCTGGCCTCGCGTGCCGCCCGATGCTGACAGATTTGTCGACGTGCTGCATCTCGCCAGTCATCCATCTCCACGATCAGCAGGACCATCCTATCGCTCTTGTCCACGCCAGCTCTCGACTCTGCCGGATCGGTCACATCTTGCAAATCTCTCATCATTTCCCTCTCTTCCTTTGACCTCTTCACCTCTCGACCTCGACAAGCTCTGCTCTACGTGCTGCTAGATGCCGTCCAAGCAGGTTCGTACGCGCCGGGTCTGTGCATCATCGGTCTGACGCGCAGGCTGGACACTACAGACTTGTTGGAGAAGCGCGTTAGGAGCAGATTCGCGGGCAGGACCATCCACTTGTATTCTCTTGGCTGGGAAGGATGGCGTCAATTGACCAAGAGGACACTGATGGGTGGTTTGAGCGATGCGAGTCCTGAGGCGCTGAAGCATGCTTGGACCGAACAGGTAGAGGTGAGAGATGAAGCGCCAAGGACTCTCCTTCTCTTTGCGTACTTTCTCGCTGACGCTTCTTTTCGCAGGCTCTACTGGGTGATCAGCTCTTTGCGCGGCTTCTCCGGGGGCTCCACGAGCTAGGCGCGGACGTGCGGCAGCTCTATCGCATTCTGGTGAGCAGCGGTTCCCTTTTTCCAGTAGCACGACTTGAGAGGCGTGGCTTGCTGATCCGTGGTCTCCCCCCCCCCGGCGCATGTACAGTCCGTTCCCATCGCCGGGCTCTCAGCATCGAATCCTCAGCTCGACACGCAAGCATTCTTAACAGCAGCTCATTCTCAGCGCGACGACTCCACGAGCCGAGTGCTGGATGGTAAGTGCAACCAGCTCGATTCGGCCATGATCGGCGGCGCATCCTCACAACATCTCTCTCTCTCTCTCTCTCTCTCTCTCTCTCTGCCGTCGATGCATCCCACTCTCGCAGATCTGTCCACCGCCGAATTCGCACTCCTGGTAGCTTCAAAGCATCTGCAAAGACTCGATCGAGAAGTATTCAATTTCGAAATGTGCTTCAAAGTCTTGCGGGACTGGGTGCGGAGATCCAGGAGGGAGAGGGAAGGCGTGGGTGCGGGAGGTATGGAGCTTTTTGGTGAGGCGGAGCGGACATTGGAGCTGGACGGCGCGTCGTCGCCCAGGACTCGCAGACGAATTGGAGACAACGAGAGCGACAAGTTGCTGGTCGATCGAGACAAGACGCTGATGGTGAGCACCTCTCGAGAGCGTAGTTCCTAGCACTCTGAGCGGAGGCTCACGCATCCGCATGCCCCCTATCTGACAGGCGTTCCAATCGCTCCTGACGGCCGAAATCTTCCTTCCCGATGCCATGTTTTCGAGCATGTCGCTGTTGCAGGGACCTCAATCTGGTGCAGCTTCGCTGACTGGTCGATCCAAGTCTTCCCTCTCGGGCGGAAGTGTGAGGCTGGAGTACCTGAAAGTCAGGTGCGCCGTCGATGCCGTGAGCATCGCTGATGCTGCGCGACGATCCACTCGCCGAGTTCCCTTGGACACGGCGCTGGTGCTTTGGGCGACTGGCAGCGGCACAATAGCTTGACAACGACGCGACGAAATCCTACCTGTTCTGCCGTCACTAGTCTGTGCATGTATGCGCGCGCGACTTCTCGAAGCGTGGTGTCGTCTCGCGAAAAAGCGCTCGCCTTAATCCTCTTCCTCGTACTCGTCAGCCCCACCACCAATCTCAACCCCGTCCAGAAGCTGCTCCCCACCCTCATCCTCCTCCTCGGCTTCTGGTGCTGCTCCACTTAGCTGACTCCAGCCGTTGCCCTTGTGTGACTTTTCATCAGCCTTGGCCTCTCTTCTCCGCTCCATCCTGTGCAGAATCTTTGTAGCAGAGTTGAAGATGCCCTGCGTCTGAGCACCGCACGCAAAGCATTTGGGCGTCTTCGCGTACCTCTTGATGGCGCAAGATGCGCAAAAGTAGTGGCCGCAACGAGTGACGATGGGATCGGTGAATGGCTGCCTGCAGATCAGGCACGCGAAGGGAATCTCCTCCTCCTCGTCCGACTCCTCCGCTTCGATCTGACGCGCAGCGGTGTTGGAGAGGCTGTCCATCTGCCACCCTGCCAGGTAGTCCGACCTGTCGTGCAGAAACTTGCAAGTATCCCCAAAACCGCAGTAGCCGGTCTCCTTGTAGTCCTTGCAAATGTCTGGCTGGTAATCTGTGACTGTGACTGTTCGCACATTGGCGGTGGCCTTGATGGGACCTTTTGCCGCTGCATTGAAGCTCGAGCTCTTGCCATTGTCCCTCGTTTCGAGGTACGTATCGTACGCCGCCTTGCCTCGATACATGCCATCCGCATTCGACGCCTTGGCACTTTCGCCTGCGTCGCCGCCGTAGTCCTTGTCGACAGAGACGGCAACTGCTCCCCTCGCTTCATCCTCGGCGTACTTATATGCCGAAGAGGTGCTCGCTCCAGCTGATGCCCAGGCATGAGACTGCACCTTGCTCTGTGTACCTGCTCTGTCTAGATGATGGGCTGGTGCGGGCTTGCTCGACTCTGCATCCGATCCAGATTCCAAATCATCTCCAGACGATATCCCCTCATCGCCCTCGCCACCGACTCGCTGACGCTTGCGACCCGTGCCCTGCCTGAGCGGGTTGTAAGCGCTCGTCTTCTTTCTCTGCACCACCGACGTGCTCTCCGGCTCGCTCGCTTCGAGCACGCCATGCGAGCCAACAACGCCCCCGCCCTCGCCCTCGCCCTCGCCACTCCTGGTGACGGCAGCACTGGGAGATGTGCTGCGCTTGCGAACCAAACGAGGACCCCTTGACTTTTTCTTGAATAGAGATGACCCTGCAGACGAGGAGGTCTCTTGAGCATCAGCTTCAGCACCCACTGCCATTGCGCTGGAGATGAGAGAAGTGACTGCTGATGGACGAGAGCTGGATGCGATGTACCTTTGCCTGTGTGGGACCGAGACGGCGCCAAGAAGAGCCCGCCGGAGTGATTTCAAGGGGTGCGTGCAGACTCTCGAGTGGCGTGCAAAGTGCAGCGCCAACGGGGGCCTGTAAAAGGGAGCAGGCACGACAGATGGTCGGAAGCGGGGCAGGACCGATGGACGTGAGCTGAGCTTGAAGCGAGAGCTTGGCGGTGATGGTGGTGGCGGTGGGTGAAGAGGGAGGTTGGTGTCGATGTCCTTGCGCGCTGGACCATCGGGGGCGTTCAATCGCGAATCGCGGATCACGAAAGAGAGGAATCAGTCGTCGTGCGTCACACTTGTGACTCAAACTGTACAGGTCGCGGGACTCGGGACTGCATGCGCAACAGAGTCAAGACTCAAGAGTCAAAGTGATTTTACGGCCGGTGGCGCAGCACGTGATCGCGTGGCCGAGGCGTAAACGCCCTGCTGCCCTGCGTGAACCCGCCCCGTAGCCGTCTGGCCTCTAGCCGTAATCTTGATGAATCGCGAATTTGAATCGCGAATCTCATCCTGCCTCGACCATTGCTCGACCCTTATGACTCGACTCTAACGTGATCTTCGAGTCGTGAGTATTGTCCAGCACAGAGGCGCTGGCTGCGGCAGTCTACTTCGCGAGACGCAGAAAGAGGAAGTAAGGATGCGCGCGCTGGCCGATCACAAAGAGGTGGGTCGGGTCGGGTCGTGCCCACTTTTGGGTTAGAAAATCTCGCCCGCCCTTGCGAATTCGGGGGGGCAACTCTCACGGGCGACCTCGTCGAGGTATCCATGCATCCGTCTTTGCTGATCAAAGTCATAACAATGGTGAATGCATTGAGCGGCGCACAGCCACCAAGTTCAGACGAGACGCGCGGTCGGAAGAAGCTCGGGCCATCTGATCGTCTCGAGTCTACGTCGGGCGTTCGCTGATGGAACCTTGATTGCTGGGTTCCGCTGCCTCTTGGCCGCCCGCCCGTGCGCCCACCACCTCTGCTCGGTGGCAAGCAAGCCTTCTATCACTGAGGCTTTTCTTCCGACGCCGCACGCAGAGAAGGGGTTGCATGATGCCGCCCCTCTTTCTTTGGACTGCACTCACACTTTCGGCGAGACCGATTGGCGAGCTGGCTGCCGATCATTTGCGCGCCTCGATGGTGCTCATGCTGCTTGCTCGTAACTTGAATGAAGGGTTGCAAGGGTTGCGACGGCGAGCAGAGGCCCGCCACTACTTTTGTCAAGGAGTCATCTTGCATGCGCCACCACCACGTACTACTACTGGTGCTTCATGGCAGCGTCGCAATGCGATGCCGCATCGGAGTCGTATAAATGCGCGAATGTGAGCCTGCAAGAATACAGGCCAAGTCTCTCCTCCGCATCCGCCATCCCCGCCTGCATTTCGCGCGAAAGCTTGGCTGGTCCACGCAAACATCTCTCTCTCTCTCTCTCTGTGTGTGTGTGTGTGCACACGTGCTCGAGCAGAATACCGCCACGCAGCTTCTTTCTTGGACAGCCAGTCGTCGCGCAAACATGCAGTTCACTGGCTTTTTCGCTGCTCTGTTCGCTTCGACTGCCATCATCTTCTGTCACGGCGCGCTAGGCGCCCTCGCCCTCGCTCACGCCCTGTCTAGCCATAGCACGATGTCCGCTCCTCTCAGCGATCGTGCCACCTCGTACGAGATCGAAAAGGTGCGACAGTGCGCAACAAAAAGGTACTGTCGAGGCTGACGCTGCTTTCACAGCTGACGAGAATTGTCCCACCCCCCCCTCATCCCCCACCTCCGCAGCGCGCGATCATCGGAGCGCCCAAATTGAACGGCTTCCACGTGAATGGTCATCCTCAGATATCGCAAGGCGACTTTCTGCCAAAGTGAGCCAGCCGCGCGCAAAATGAGCAGCAGCAGGGGGGGGGGGGGGGGGGGGATCCGAGATTGCGCTAGCTGGTAAATACTGACACGCTGCTGTCGCGCATGGGCGCGGCGCACATCAGAAACAGCTTGGGATTCGATCGCCACGTCGAGGTGAGTCAGACCCCGCGCGCGAGATCTTTCCGCGCACGCTGACCTGTATCCCCCTGACATTGATTTTTGCCTTTGTCTTGATCCCGTCTCAGATCCCTGACAAGCATACGCTCAAGTGGAGTCATGCTCACGATTCAGCACGGCCTTTGCACATCTTCGATAGCGAGCGTGGATGGCTCCTGCAACACGGCGCTCAGCCGACCGACCGCGCCATCTCCCCCCTCGACTTTGTGAGTGCTGCTGGCGGGAGGGGGATATGAAGAGTGGAGGGTGGGGGCGGCGCAACGAACGCCATTCGCTTCGGAACTCTGATCCGCTTTTCGTCTGCTTATTTGCTTGCCCCCAATGCCGCGCGCAGCAACGAGGGCTGCGTAATCAGGGCATGGCGGACACTTTGATGAAAGTCTATCATTACGATGGCCCTCGAGCCGGCCATATCGTCACCCACGGTCCTGGATCCTGGCTTCGAGTCACGCGCAGCCAAGCACACAGCTGAAGAGAGAGAGAGAGAGAGAGAGAGAGAGAGAGAGAGAGAGAGATTCACTCGTGTGCTGTGGTTGAGTTTTCATCACACTTGAATGATATCAAGTACACCACGTAGTCCGTGTGCGGTATCAGCCAAGCGTGGCCGCATAGCGTGGGCAACGGTGGCTCTTAATGCTTGCGTCGAGCAAACGTGAGCAGCGAACCATTCTCCTCCGGATCCTTTTCCAGAACACCGGTCCAAGCCCAATTGAGCGCACCGCCGTCTCCTTTGCGCTTGATGACCGCATCTTGAAAGCCCCAGAGCTGCGAGACGGGCAAGAAGTGCGTGATTGCATTTGGGCTCAGTCAGGTACATTACTTTCATGCGCGCATTTACTGCGAGAGACTTGGAGGGGAAAAGGACTACTCACTTCGAACCCGATCGTTCCTCCCACCTTGATATCGACCTCGAAGTGATCATGGGCCCAATCCTGCTTCTCCACACCTCCAAACTTGTTGTCCATCTCCACATGACTTGCCAAAAAGTTCGTATCGGGATACTCGCGAGCCATGCGATCTACAGTCTCCCTAGCTTGATCTGCCCTCTTGACCTTGTCCGCTTCCACATCCTTGATGACCTCTTCCACGATCCTTGCCAATACCTTGCCGATCTGAACCGCTGCCCTGCCGACTCCTGCAGCTAGACGCGGCTCTAGAGCGCTGCTGCTCTCTACGGTAGAGGTGGCGCTGGCAAAAGAAGCGACTGCGAGGAGCGCAAATGGAAGAAGAGCGATGATCTTGAATGAATGCATGATGGAGGGGGGGGGG